CTGGTTTTAACCAAAGTTCAAGCAGATTTCAAGAATAAAAAAAAAAAAAAAATGTGTTCTACAGTTTATTAATGTCCAGTGCTTTGGAATGGAAAAAAAAAAAAAAAATGTCCAATTTAATACCTTTTTTTTTTTTTTTTTTGAGACGAAAAAAAAAAAAAAAACCCAAGCTGGAGTGCAGTGGCACAATCTTGGCTCACTGCAAAAAAAAAAAAAAAAATTCAAGTGATTCTCCTGCCTCAGCCTCCCAAGGAGCTAGGAAAAAAAAAAAAAAAAACCACGCTTGGCTAATTTTTTGTATTTTTAATAGAGAGGAAAAAAAAAAAAAAAAACCAGGATGGTCTTGATCTCCTGACTTTGTGATCCGTCCGCAAAAAAAAAAAAAAAAGCTGGGATTACAGGTGTGAGCCATCGCACCTGGCCCATACAAAAAAAAAAAAAAAAAGGATTCAACAACTTCTTTATGACATCTATTATTAAACTCAAAAAAAAAAAAAAAATCTTTGACATAATTTGCTCTTGTTGCTATTTTTCTTCTAAAAAAAAAAAAAAAAAAGATTTAACCTTATTATAGTTATTAGATATTTCTAAATGGAATTAAATTTGTTTAATTTTTTTATTTATTTGTATATTTATTTTTGGCCTTAATGTTAAAAAAAAAAAAAAAATTTATTTTTTACTTAATTTATTTAAAAGTTTTTAAATTTAAAAAAAAAAAAAAAAAACAAATTTTCTGTCACCCAGGCTGGAGTGCAGTGGTGCGAAAAAAAAAAAAAAAAACCTCTACCTCCCAGGTTCCAGTGATTCTCATGCCTCAGCCAAAAAAAAAAAAAAAATTACAGGTGCACGCCACCACACCTGGCTAATTTTTGTATTAAAAAAAAAAAAAAAATTTCACCGTGTTGGCGAGGCTGGTCTTGAACTCCTGGCCTAAAAAAAAAAAAAAAACTCAGGCTCTCAAATTGTTGGGGTTACAGGCCTGAGCCTCAAAAAAAAAAAAAAAATTTATTTTTATTTTTAAAATTTTTTTGAGACAGGGTCTCAAAAAAAAAAAAAAAAAGGAGTACAGTGGTACCATCACAGTCATGGCTCACTGCAGTAAAAAAAAAAAAAAAACAAGCAGTTGTGACACCTCAGCTTCCTGAGTAGCTAGGACAAAAAAAAAAAAAAAACGTGCCCAGCTTATTTGTTCCAGTTTTTGTAGAGGCAGGGTCTCAGTATGTTGCCTAGCTGGTTTTGAATTCCTAGTCTCAAGCGATCCTCCCACCAAAAAAAAAAAAAAAACTGGGATTACAGGTGTAAACCATCACACCTGGCTCAGAGTAAAAAAAAAAAAAAAATTTTTTTTTTTTTTTGAGACGGAGTCT